TGTGGTGTCCAGTTAGGGGCCAGAAGTTTATTATTTATTAATAGGTAATATTATCAGCACTTTCGTCATATCAACTGTAACATTCACAAGCTAAATGTCACTGTGTATCGTGTGACCCACGTGAATACCAGGTCTGGTGACTCCAGCTCTTCACCTCCAAGGGAGAAACTCTAAGCAAGCCCCCAGTTAAATGCTTTCTTTTATGAGTTGCCTTGGTCATGGTGTCTCTTCATAGCAATAGAGCAAAAACTGAGCCACCTGGCCGCTGTCATTTCCTTTAAGCCCAGAAAACCAAGTTTTGTTCTTTACGAGGAAAGCCAAGCCTTGTGTCCCCACCCCGACCTCATCCCCCAAATCCCAGATCTACCTCCTTGGTTTACTCTGATGCATCTGTTCCTCCTTCACTGCCAGGAAGGTTCCCATCTGGACCTGTGTGCTGAGGCACCCTGCAGAGACTGAAGATTATTCTTCATTAACCATTATGTGGATAGTTAATCCAGGGAAGGGAGCTGGACTTCATGTATTAATGAGTTGATTTCCAATTTGTCTCTGTGCTTTTTCATTTGGGACAACCTGAGGTCTTTTGCTGGACTTTGTTTTTAAAATTGGGGGGGGGGCATTTTCATGTCGGACAGTAAATGATCGTACCATCTGCCACGTGTTTTTCACTTTCCCTTTCTCTCTTTTCTATTTGCTTCTGATTTGCAGATATTTCGAAGACAAATGTGACTGTGTGGTTTTGCTTTCTTAAAAATCTTCTTTCTCTGTACAAGCAGGAAGTACCCGCCTCCTTGCCTTTTCACATGAATCTTTTCTGCTAACAACTGAGGTCAGGGCCAGCATCAGGGCTGGAGGCTGGGATAAGAAAGATGAGAGCAGGAATGGAGAGATGTCTCAGTGGTTAAGCACAATGGCTACTCTTTCAAAGGACTCCGGTTCAATTCCCAGCCCCCACACGGTGGTTCACAGCTCTCTGCAACTCCAGTCCCAGGGATCTGATCCCTTCTACTGGTCTCCACCAGTACCAGGCATTGCACATGGTATACAAACACAGACATTGAGACAAAGAAAAGCAAGGAAAGAAGGCAAAAATAAAGAAGGGAGAAGAGTAAGCATTTGAGACCCAAGGTGGAAGACATGCTACAGAGAAGGTGAACAATTTTCTTATTCTGAGAATGAGAGAAATGAACCCTATGCTCGGGGGCTTGACACAACTTCATGATACCCACTTGACTGGTTGTGCTGGTCTAATGTCCCTGGGAGAAAGGGAACAAAATGAAAGATTCTGGACTCAGATAAAATATTTCTATCCAAATAATACACAGAGGGTGGACGTATTGTCCTATACTGCCGCCCAAGCTTACATCCACATGATGACTGGCTCAATAAAACCTGCACTTTCAGAGGAAAATTAAAACAAAAAATGGCATTACTTTCAGTAATATGTAAGCTCTTCAGGGGGAAAAATATAAAAATATTTTTTTTACATAGGGTCTCACTATGTAGACCAGGCTGGCCTCAAACTCACAGATTGGCTTGCCTCCTCAGTGCTGGTATTAAGAAGTTTGTTATTGTTGTTGTTGATGATGGTGGTGGTGGTGGTAGTGGTTTCCTTCCTTCTGTTTTGTTTTATTTTGAATGGTTGGTTGGTTGGTTGGTTGGTTGGTTGGTTGGTTGGTTGGTTTTTTTATTGTTGTTGTTTGGTTTGGTTTAGTTTAGTAGTGCTGGGAATCAAATACTTGTACATATTAAACCAAATAGTAATCAACCCTTAGAATATATATATATATATATATATATATTCTAAGGGTTGATTACTATTACAATCTATTCTATTATATATATATATATATATATAGAATAGAATAGATTGTTTAAATAGAATAGATTCTATTTCATATATATTCTATATATATTTTAATATATTGATATATTAAATATATTGATATATTTAATAAATATAAATATATTTATATATTAAATATATATTTAATATATATTTTAATATATTGAATATATATTTTAAAATAATGTATGGCTAGTAAGTAAGATTATAAACACTGCTGTTCAGAGCAAACTAGCAAAACAACTCAAAAACTTTTCAAACACTTAAGCTATTTGATCTAGTTGAGACTACATAGACAGAAAGCAGAGAACGTGGCAGACACTGGGGGGTACAGAGGAAGCAAGTGGGGAGTTAGTGTTTAACGGGTACAGGATGTTAGTCTGAGGAATACATTCTGGGAGTGGATGTTGGCAATGGTTATATAATAGTGGGAATCAACATACATTTCCTGAACTTAAAAAATGGTTAAAATAGTAAATCTGTTTTATATATTTGACCACAATTTTAAAACAAACAAACAAAAAAAAAAAAAAAACAAAAACAAAAACAAAAACGGAGCGCCAGGAAAATGTTCAGTGTGGTAGAGATATTATCCGATGCTGTTTATATTTTTGAAATCTCGTGCGTAGAGGTGAAAGCTGGAGTGATATTCTGACGCAAAATGACAGCAGATATCAGCTCTGAGTGGAACTGTGAGCAGACTCTTCTTTCATGAGCTTCTGAACGTTCTCATAGCTTTTTGGTATCTAGGAAACAAAGTCTGCAGGCGCCCTGCATCTGTCTCCTGAGCACTGTTGGTGGAGCAATGGTACCGGTTGTTGCCTGCAAGCACGCTGTGCAGTGACTTCCCTTTAGGAGTCTGTTTCCACCTTGAATGTTAAGTTCTGCATGGGCAGGGCCCAGAGTGCTCACGCAGTGTCGGGTACTTGATGATCCCTTGACAAATCCTCAGGTGAACGAGTGGGTCTGTGCGTAAACGGGTGGATGAACACAAAGTGAGTTCTTGCTGTCTCAGTCTCGGGCTCCTTCTCTAACAAACAGTGCAACTGAGAAGTGTGTAAATGATGCGAGTTTATCTCTTGTGGTCCTGGAAGCTGGGAAGTCCCAGGTGAAGGCACTGCAGCCTCCCTGTGTGGCGACGTCTCCTGGGTAGAAGAGAGCCCCTTGCTACCTCCTCCCACACAGAAGAAGCGGCCAGCCGCTCCCTGTACCTCTCTGAAAAGGGCACTGGTTCCGCTTACAAGAAGAGCTCTGTCTTTGTGTCTTCAGCAGCTCTAGAAGGCATCAGATCGGATCACCCTCGCACCATCGAATAAGCGTCAGCGTATCAATGGGGCATTCAGAGCGCGGCTCTCGGAACAGTTGGCATTTTTTTAATCCTGTGCACCCGACCCAGGCACCTAGAATCAACCCTCTTCCTGGCGTCGGTAGGGAGGTTTACAGGAAGGGGTTTTCTCGGGCAGGATTGTTGAAATGAAGGTTAACAGGGTGGGAGGCAGTCTAGAACCCGTGTCCTTTCGAGGATGGCACAAAGGCTGTAATGTGAAAGGTGGGGTACAAAAGAGAACTGCTGTGGCTTCCTCCAGACACTGGAACTGCAGCCAGGTAGAAAGACACATTTAGTCAATAAACACCCGCCAAACTCCTCAGTCCGGGGACTGAGGTAGGTGTCATGGACACAAGCCTATGTCATTTGTTTAGCATCTCGTAAAAGATGATAAGATCTTCTTGATGCCACTGGCTTCTGTGTTTTGTGCATTGATATGCTTGTTGCAGCACCTAAGAGAGTAGACATCTCTGCGCGCGTCTCCCGTTTATTTTTGCGTCCTCTGACATTCCTGCAGTTATGACTACTAAGCAAGGTTCTAAAAGGGATGCCATCGATGAGTCAGGAGAAACTCGGAAAGGCAGAATTGAACGCTTCTGAAGACAGAGTCCAACTCTGCAGCCCCTAGACTGCATTTCCTGGAACCCAGGGGGATACATGGGCTCATTTTAGTATATCAAAAACCTATTCCGGTCTAAATAACCTCAGGTCATTTTGAGATAAGGTTGTTTGTTTTTTTTAAACCACAGCACAGGAATTAACACATTATTGTATACTGGGAGTCTCCTAGCTAGGGAGAAGCTCTTTTTATTCTCGGGCTTCTGGATAACAGGACACTCCTACGTCTAGAACTGCATGAGGTGAGCACCAGGGAAGGTCACTCTTGCTCCGTAATGAGAACGTTTACCTTGAAGCAGGTGGCCCCCAGTCACAGGTCCAGATGGGAGCTGTGGCAAGCCTCTGACGTTCACTTGGCTCCCTGTACAACAGGGCCCCGGCATTCACTCTGAACCATCGATCAAGCCTCTCCCCTCACCTCATCCTTCCCACCACAGCTTTCCTGGAAGTTGGTGTCTCTTGTCTCTCTTTCCATCCTTGATTTAAAGTTGAGCCTAACAAAGCAGGCCTTGCGCTGGTGGTCCGGACTTGAGCCCTGCGTTACAAGGACTCTGGTTTCTCATACTAAGCTACGTGGGGTGACGGGTGACTCCGGGTAGAGGTTCACCCATTTCATTGTACAAAATGGAGGGCTACCCGGACAGGTTCTCATGTCAAGGACCAAATGAATGGAGTGTCCTGGACTTTATAACATCAAAAATTCTTGCTTGATCTTATTTTGAGCAACCTCTTTGATGTGTTGGAGACTTGTGTGTTTGTGTGTTTGTTTGTTTGTTTGTTTGTTTTTCAAGACAGGGTTCCTCTGTCTAACCTTGGCTGTCCTTGGACTCACTTTATAGACCAGGCTGGCCTCGAACTCACAGAGATTCGCCTGCCTCTGCCTCCCTGAGTGCTGGGATTACAGGTGTGCGCCACTGCATCCGGCTATGTTGGAGACTCTTAATGCCTTATTTCTAGGCACACTTTTAAATGTTTTGGTACCTGGAAAAACAGTTATTTGTGTAGACTGAACCGTCGAAAATCCTTGTAACACGAACGCATTTCCACACAGGTCTGAAGCTTTCACACAATGAGGTAAAGCCAGTCACACAAGTTTCGTGGGGCACGTCTCCTGTCTAGCCACATTGGTGACTTTGGAGACGTCCTAAGAGACCCTCGGGAGACTTGAAACTCCAGCCCCTCAGAGTCCCTCCAGTTTCACTCTCCTACCTTGTAACTTGGGTTCTCCTTCCAAAATCCAGCGACCTCATTGACTGCAGCACTTCGATGCAGCCCATGTACTAGAAGAAAAGGAAAGACGAGGTAGAATACGACCAGCACAACGCAATCTCTGAGCTACACAGTGACTTCCCGGGCAGCGCCCACGACATCTCCCAAGAGCAGCTATGGGAATGCACATCGCCTGTGTCAGTGTTTCTGACCACCAGTGGGCAAAGACGCCCCTTTGGCTGCAAAACCTCGACTAAGTGCAATGTAAATACAGTCTCCAGGGTTGGGAATGCAGGAGGCAGGGACGACGTTGGGCTCCGAGGTTGGAAGTGTGCATCTGAGGTCTTCACATTGTGTGTGGCACAGGCTCACCCACTGGCTTTGCCCCATCTCCACTTTAAAACCCCAGCTAGTGGCCCAAACTTGGCTTTTGTCCCAGGGGAAAAATGAAAATACAGGGGTTGGAGAGATGGCTTGGGGGTTAAGAGCACTGGCTGTTCTTCCCATGGTCCTGAGTTCAGTTCCCAGCAACCAATGGTTATGGTGGCATACAACCATTCTGGTGCCCTCTTCTAGTTTGCATGCACACATGCAGGCAGAACACTGCATAAATAATAAATAGATAGATAGATAGATAGATAGATAGATAGATAGATAGATAAAATGAAAATACAGTTAGAATTATTGCAAAAGCTAAATTATTTCAAATATAGAATGCTTTTTAGGACAATGCCTAGTAAGCATAACTGCACAAATGTCAGAGTTAGCAACGATAAATAGGAGATGAATAACACGGGACTCTCCAGTCTCCTAAGCACTGGAACAAGCATGAAAATGCACAAAAGACAGAATTTACTGACATTTAGAAGGTCTTACCATCTTTTGGAAGATCACTGTAATTCAAACGAAAAAAAAAAAAATCTCGCCCCAAAACAATGCTTGGTAAGTTTAGCTTGAACAGGGAGTATTGGAATAGGAGTTGTGACTTTTAAAATGAAGAGAGCCAAATCAGGGATGTGGGTAAAGGGGCTTACATCAGTGTGAAGGCGGCTGGCTCATGGTGAGAGTATGCAATAGGATGTTCCCTGAGAGGGGAAAGTAACGCCAGCCCACTTGGAGGAGGGATGGTGGCAATGAGGAGGAGAAGACAAATTTAAGTGACATCACAGAAAGAAATGCCACAGGGTTCAGCAGTTAATTCAGCTACATAGAGTAAAAGAGTGAGCCAAGGATGGCTCAGCCGCTTCCAGCCGGGGCACAGGGGAACCTGGAGTGCCATTAACAGGACCAGGAGGGACAGGAAAAGAAGGTTATGAATTGCTTTGGAGCCCACTGACTGCAAGACATCAGTTGGGGGAGCCAGGAAGTAACGGGCTGACAGCTGAAAATTGAAGTCAGCATCCCCAAGAGGACAGAGCAGGACAAAGGAGAGGGAGGGACAAGGGGGGGGGGCGGCGGCACAGTCACAGCTTTCTAAGCATCTCTGCAGGTAAAGCCGTGGGATCCTCCTGCAGAGCAGCAACTGACTCTGGAGAGTGCTACACTGAAAATTGCCTTGGAAAGGTTATGAGTGCCAAGTGGTGTGAATGAAAGGGCTCTCGGGTCCTCAGAAATGAGATGCTTCCTGTTTGGCTGTCCTTTGGAAGCTATCCAGCCTCTCCAGCCTCCCTTGGTGATGGGGAGATGGGGGGGGAACGCTCTCCAGATCCTTTCTTGGTAATATTTCTGAATGGATTCTATAGATGCCTCACCCCAAAACCAGGTTGGCTTTCAGTTGCTGCCATAAGTCTGGTGTTGGGGAGACATCTTCAGCCAGATGCCCCAGTTTTACTCCTCATGGGGTCTCGATACCAACACACACACACACACACACACACACACACCATCTGTATACTTCCTAAGGCTCAGGCACTGCAGGGAAATAAAATGTCTGCAGCCTGGGACTGATCGACGCGTAAGACTGACTAGAAGAAGGAGGGTTGGTGGAGGGCTCTGTCGGGAAGCATGTTTCAGAACCGTGGTGAAGGAGGATGCCAGAGCCCACGCGCCACAGTGAGGCAGATGGAAAGGACTGCCTGAGATTCCTCTCCACCCTCCTCGCCCTGGAACCCAATTCATTCATTCCATTGCCTACACGCCAGTCTTGGGAAGAACATCATCTACACACAAGTTGGGGGACAGGCCTGGGCTACACTTCCTATTCTCCAAGAGACCTACCTGGTGCTGAGGTGGTGCCTTCCCTGACAGTTATAAATCACTAACTCAACACTGACCTATCTGTACATCCTGAAAAGTGACAGGCACTACATTTTCTAACTATATGCTCTAACACAGGGATTTCTAAAAAGAATAAAAATATATTAATAACTTACCCTCACTGCTTAAATCTCTTCATATCTATTACCAAAACAAAGCCATTAGTATCAATGCCTAGACCTTGCTTTTTCTTTCCTTCCCTTACTAGGTGCCTCATTCTCATACTTTAATATCATGTTGGCCTCCATCCTTGTCCTTAAATCTACCCAGCTCTTCCCAATGGCAGGGCTTCTCATCTGCCATTCTCCATGACTAACCCATCTCTCTTCACTCTACAGGTCTAATTCTTCTTCATCCTGCAGGTTTTCATTAACATGGAATGTCCTTAGGTCATCCCCTGCTACTCATGAGCACAACTCTTACCTGTCTCTTCCATGCCACTGAGTACCAGGTTTATCTATCAGTTTGCTTGCTTATTTTCTTGGCTGTAAGCACTGTACAAAGAAGGGCCTGGGACTGTACCCAGAACCCAACAGTACCCAGCAAACACTGAAAAGAAAAGAAAGAAAGGAAAGATGGAAGGAAGGAAGAAAGGAAGGAGGAAGGAAGTAAACCACTTCTGTTACTCTACAGTAAGCATCTGGTGCTCTGCTATATGTACTTTATTTATTTTATCTTTATTTTTTCTATTGTACCCCTAAAATGGGTAGAAAGAAGAGAAGTAGCAGGGGGAGATGAAGGTTTAGCAAAGTCTCTCCATCCTGTCCTAAAGGAAAATAGGAGCACCAAGGTCTCAGAAAAAGACGTGGGTCTCTTTTTCTGCTGCTATGATAAAATACCCCGACAAAAGCAGCTTAAGGGAGAAAGGTTGTATTTTGGCTCTCAGTTCAAGGGTATAGTATTGGTGGGAAAATCAAGACAGCAGGAGTTTGAAAGCACCTGATCACATTCATAGCGCAGAGAATGATAAATGATTGTGCCCAGCTTCCTTTGTCACATGTATGATATCTAGAATCCCAGCTAGGGAGAATGGGGCCACCCATGGTAGGCAGGTCTTCACATCTCAATGCTATCAAGATAACTGTACCTTCTGTCCCAACATGCCCAAAGGTCCACCTCACAGACAATTTAGATTCTATGACGTTGGTATCACTAATCATCACCAAAAAATAAATATATATATATACATGTCATAGGTGGGGATGTTTCCACTGGCAGGTGTCTGGATCTCTTGGCATTATGCTCCACAAGTAGAATATTTATTCCACTTCAGGCTCTGGAGACAACCATCCCAGACAGGTGAATTTGAGTGTAATGATGGAACCTGAGAGGAAAGGCAAGTCCACTGCATGTCTGAAGAGCAGGTGACAAAGAGCAAAGACGATCAGCTGGGACAGACATCCCAAGGCTAATGAGGTCCAAGACCCATGTGAGGGAGCATGTAAAATGAGAGCGATGGGATTCTCATCTCAGTGGGGATGGTTCACTAACGGAGGATTCAGGCCATCCATCAATAAGGCGAAGGGTTTAATAAGAAGAGGGAAGAAAGAGAGGCGGTCACCTCCAAGGCTCCCTTCTTAGCCACACACACTTTAGTTAACACCTCCTACCTGCTTCCTTCTAAGGTAGGCCCAGGCATTGTTATGGGAATGTAACAGCATGGTCTGGTACTTTGTATATTTGATTGTTAATTATTTTGCCCCCTGAAGTCTGCTTGCTGACCTTTAGGAGCAGGTGCTCACATACACCAAAATACCCTGATTGGCTAAATAAATGCCTACACACCTGGGGAGAGCGGAAGTAAGGTAGGTGTGGCCAAGGTTCTCTCAATTGGAGAGGATCGTGGGAAGAAGGAGGAGGGGACAGGTGCAGGAGGAGAAGAAGGAAGTGAGTTGTCACCATGGGATTGAAACCGTGTGGGCCTGGAGGAGTGAACTCTGAGAATCCCGTGGAGAGGACAGCACGGATGGAAAGCATGTGCAAGTATTTACGGGGATATTGTGTAGGAAGTAGCTCAGAGAGGAATGACTAAGACAAATGGCGTGGGATGTGGGATTGAGAAGTAACAGGTAGATTAGGGGGTAATATCTGCCCAGCCCCAAGTGAAATAAGGCTTACTTAAATACAACATGAGTCTGTGTCTTTCATTGACACAGTATTAGTTAGAAAATAATACTACCGCAATAATTACAGGCTTTTAGTAATAAATGTTATTAGGTAGTCATTTATATTCTCTACAACATGGGAATCCCTTCTCTGCAAGCGAACCTCCATGGCAATTCACACAGCCATCAGCGTTGGAGTGATGACACAGTCTCTCTCTGATACAACACAAGGTTCTAAAGAAAAGGAGCCACGCAGAGGTGGCCGTCAGTGAGGACAATTCCCTTCCAAAGCTGGGGACATGTGAAGGAAGCCACAATGGATTTTTGCCACTTCTAAGTCCCAGTGGAGCTGGGGAGAGAGCAGTACCTAAAAACAATCTGTTTCTTTGCTTAGGAACTTCTGAACCTCGTAAGTAAAGAGTTTCTGAATGGCGATGCCTGAGGGAGAAGTTTAGTTTATTAGGATAAACCAGAGATGACAATACCGCCCTTCGGTCATTAAACGCAGATCCATGTAACACCTAATTTCAGTTCCTAAAACAAGGGCAGCCTCCAAAAGAATGAGCTGGCTCTCTTTCTAGGGGTGAACCATCATTACCTCCGTCGGAATAGACAACAGAACACCTGAAGCCTAGTCAGAAGTGGTTGACTTCTTCTCATTCATTCATTCACTGAGGCGGACCCGCAGTTTACTCCAGAGCAGTGGTTCT